ACGGTTCTGGGTGGACCATACCGGGTTTTGAGCAAGTGACTCATTTCATGGGGCTTTCTCAACATGGGCCCGTTTTTGGATGGTTGCAGGGGGAACTCCAAGGAAGCCAACCGGTTTTTTTCGACTGTGAACTCCCGACGAAGGTTCGGTCGACGTTTTCCGTGGTCAGTTTTTGGGGACGGACTCAAGTACCCCGCAAGACAAACCGGGCGACTGATTAGTTTTCCATCCAGAGGCAGTAAGTTTGGCCTTCGTTCGTGTGAGTTTATGGGTTCCTGCTCAACTTCCGGTGCTCAATTTGGACACGCGCCTTTCTGTGTGGAACTCTGGCTTGGACAGTGAAGAGACAGAGGCAGCGAGTCCAAGCGCGATGAGGCGATGAAGGAGACGGGGTGCAGCTTTGTGAGTTGGTCAATTCTTCCCCAGAATCAGCTCCCCTTTTTTTTTGTTTTTTGCGTTTTTTGGGTCCCTTTGTTTTCCTCTAACCAGGCAAAAAGGTAATTTTTTGCTGGGGTCCTAGTTCCAGACAAGAAATGGGGTACAAGTTGATACACAGTCTGAAGGTAGAACCCTTCACCAGGTTTTGAATCCGGTCAGATTTCTGTTGGCACGCACCCACGCAGTCCAGCAAAGAGCACCCGAGCATGGCCTTTCTTCAGGGCAATAGACGTGCGCCGAATGAGTGGCAACCCTGTGGTTCAGTTGCATCATAGCGTCGCAACAGATGGCCCAAAGGCAAGTTGCGCCGTGTCCTTGGGAGCCCACGATGTTTTTCCTCAAGGAATTTGTTTTGCTCACGGTCATTCTATGCGCCTGTGACTCGTGGGTCATTCTAAGATCGCTCAGCCCGTGCAAGCCCGGCAGTGCCGGATGCGCTGAGTTTCAGGAGCTGAAGGCGGACAAGTTCATTGTGACGACCGACACAGCGCAAGTGGATAGCGTGAAGGGAAGCATCGAGTACCTGTGCTGCAACGGGAGAGATCTCTCGCTTTTGTCATAGTTTACCTCTGTTTGGCTGCGATTGCAGGTGTGTTCAATGAATCAATGCTTAGTAGCAAGGGAATTGCCATTGTGGATTTAGACCATATTTGGTGGCACGCGCCACAGGCATTAAACCTCAGGCGAAGGGTCTTTGAGCACGTGGTGAGAGCTCTACTCGAGCAGACGCAAGCAAATCCACTGAGAGGGGCAACTGCAGATCGCTTCCCCCGATAAATGAAAACAGAGCCCCCCGCAAGAAACATACCAAACATGGCACCTTGGAGCATGAAACCAAAGACTAAAAGCTGCGGTTTGCCCTGGCTCTTTAATTTTGAGCCACACCCATATGTAAAATTATTTACATCTGGGTGAACTATGACGACCTCACACGACCTCACCCCAAATGGTGGTTTATGTGGGGCCCCCGAACCACCTCATTTCAAGCTGGTAAAATATTATAATTCACCCAGAATCTACATGCAAATCCTCAATCGGGAGAGTCATTGGTTTTTGGGCCGCCCAGTTCTAGGAGCCCCCCCCCTCGACCGACCTCGAGTCAGACCCACGCTCCCCCCTTGCCTCCCCGCTCCCAGTTTCATGATCAGCACCATCGCGGCCAAATACGAGCCCGCCATGTACCTGGGCATGCTGAAGACCAACGGCCAGCGCCCAGTCCTGCAGAAAGGCGTTGAGTGGGGCGTGGCCCAGCACTTGGCGCCCTTTCTCACCGAAGCGTTTTCTGCTTGGGAGGGCTCCCCTATCATCGACCACAGAAAAATGGTTGGAGGACCTTATTTTAATTTCTCTACTGGAGGACCTTGGTTGAAGGTATTTGACTCACCCCACTTGAGCACGTATGACTTGGGCCTGATTCGTGGAGGAGTTGCAGCTCGTTTTTTGTGGAACATTTGGGCGTTGGCCCATCAAAGGTTCCACTCCGTGGTGCCAGTCACGTCAGTGGCGTAGTTTGTTGCAAGCCGATCCGAGGAAACATCTAGTTGCATGAGTTCTTGTGGATGATACTGGCCATTTCTTTGACTCAAGGACCTAGACTGCACACCCCATTGCCTAGCGAAAGCACTCATGCGAGCCAGTGACATGGCCGCTTGGATTCCTTTGCTTCCTTGGCGCGGCCGAGACATGCACGCAGGACACGACGAGCCATCTTTTGTCTTGGTCCAGTGCCTGGACTTTCTCGGTCTTTTGGGAAGACCAGTTCAGTGGCAAGTTGCGAGTTTGGGCCCTTTCTTGGCCAGTCCGGGCTCTAGAAGTGAGTCTTGAGCCTTAAGGCGTTAGCTTGCAAGCAAAGATGCCATGCTTCGGGGGTGTTTCCCCTTTTTTGCCTTTTGGGAGACGAGCAAGTTCGGCGTGCTACTTGTGTTGCTCTTGTGCCGCGGGTGCAACTTTTCAAGTTCCGCCAGAAACCTGTCAACGGCAAATTCAAGCCAGTCAGTCAAATGCCCCGCCAGGAATCAGTCAAATCCCCCTCTCAGATTCCGGTCACCCTCTACAAACTAGTCAAATCCAACCCCGGCCAAATTCCAGAAAAAAGAAGTCCCCCTAGGAACCAGTCATATCCCGTCACCTTCCCCCCAAGTGGTCAAACTCTCTAGCAGGCCCAAGTCCAGGCAAATTGAAGAAACCCTCGGGGCTCTTGCGAGGATGGTGTTGGTGGGCGCGCCGCCGGAGCCTCTGGAGCTGCATGCCTTTCAGCTCATCCCGGGCCGGAAGACCATTGCAGGTGTGGGGGGAAGCTGTGGGGGGGGTGGTTGGGGTTGGGGTGGTTGGGGTTGGGGTGGTTGGGGGGGGTGGTTGGGGGGGGTGGTTGGGGGGTGGTTTGGGGGGGTGGTTGGGGGTGGGGTGGTTGGGGTGGTTGGGGGGGGTGGCTGGGGTTGGGGGGGTGGTTGGGGTAGGGGTGGTTGGGTGGTTGGGGGGTGGTTGGGGGGTAATTGGAGTTGCTATTGGGGGGTGGTGCTTGAGTGCTCAACCCAAGTCAAGCAGGAAACCACCCTTGCTGGAAGAAACTGCGTTGGGGGGGAGCCCCGATTTGGGTTACAAAAAACAGAGCCCATGGCTGAATGCCCGGTTGGGAGGATTATCCTCCAAACATGAAAGTGTGCACAGCTACCCCTTTGGAAGACAAGCTTCCTTCTGGAAGCGGTTGGCCACTTCCATTGGGAGGGTATTGTTTCAAAGGGACTTTCGGTTGGCTTTGAGACGATGGAATCCGTCTTTCTTCGGGGGGATGCACCTGGACGGCTCAAACAGGCACGCTGCCAGGCTCCATGATTGGAGGCATCAAGGAGACTCAGGACATGTTGGACTTTTGCGCGAAGCACGGCATCACCTGCCCCCACGAGAAGATCACCGCAGATGCAGAGAAGGTGAACGCGGCCTACGAGCGGACCGTGAAGTCGGATGTGAAGCCGCCGGGCCGAAATTTGGAAGGACCCGCACTCCTTTCGGCTCAGGCATCACAAGAAATCGCACGCCACGTTCGCAAAGTCGAAGACAGATCCCCCCACGCACACACACACACACACACAAGGCTGCAAAGTCCAAATACTTTCAGCCCCGCGTGAAGTAACAATTCTACTCAGGTTCCGAGTGGTCTGGAGTGGCTCCGGGTTAGAGTTGGCAGGTTCTGGAGGTTGGCTGTTGGGGATCTTCGGCGCGTGAGTGTGTCCAGGGGTCTTGAAGTGGAGCCTGGTCTCTTTTCCATCGAGGGGAAAGAGTCAGGATCCGAAGAGAATCGCCCGAGTCGGAGAATGGCTTTGCCGGCGAAAATGATTCCTCTCCATGTGATACGAATCCGCTTTTGTTTGCCTCCCTTCAAGAGGCAGCCAGCCACATGTGGCTGTGGGTCAACACCAATGGGATCCCATTTTGGTTGGTAGGTGAATTCACCAGCCATGTTAGTACCTATTTTAGTGGTTGGATTGAATCGGATGTTCACTCTGGGTACGATTTAGGTTTTGACCCATGGCCATGTTGAGTTGAAGTCCGCTTGCGCTCGCGCCACACGGCTGCTCACACAGCTTGCTGCATGCTGAGGTACCGCTTCGTGATTGACACCTCGACCTTTTGAGGGTCGTGATGGCGTGCAGTTTGTTCACCTGTTTGTCGCTTGAAGTCGCTAGTCGCGATTCATTGATTCGTTGGAGAAACCTGTGAGCATGCGAAGGAAGGACTGCTGGATTCTGTGAGTGAATATACGTGGAGCCCGTTCGCCGTTTAACAGCGATCCTTTTCCGACGAGCGGCTACTGTCATCCGCGCCTATCTGGTTGGACACAAGACTGTATTCACTCCAGTTTTCTCTCCCCAACGCAGTTTCACGGGTATTGGCGGCCGGTTTGCAATGCTGAGTTGGGCGTTCATCGGTTACGCCGCAAGAAACGTGGCCGGCTCAGTGCAGGGCAAGAGAAAAGCAGCTTTTGGCAGGGTTCTTTTCACCGCCCCCAAGGTAGGCTTAAACCCAAGGCCCGTTTTCTCCCAAGAACGGGCGCCCTTTGTTCAAGTTAGCAAATGGAAGCCTCGGGGAAGGCATTGGATATACGTTGATGCGAACCTCTGATCATAGAAAAGTGGTTTGGTTTCCTTTAGCTTCTCAACAGTTTTTCGGCGGACTGGTTTTTTTCCATCGTAAAGCCTTGAGGGCAATCTTGAGAATGCACGTGTGCCGTTGATCATTTGCATGTCCGGGCTCAGAGACGAGCGGCTGGTGTTTGGGGCTTGATTTCTGATGTTCCGATATCTCTGGTCGAAAAGCACATGGCATTGTCTTTGGGGCCCCAAAAAGGTTTTATGACCAACCACCTTTGAAGGTCTTCATTCAAATTCATATGAGCCACAATCAAAACCTGGGTAGATGAAGGTTAGTAAGGGAAAGACCCAGCCGGAAATAGTTGCAGCCGCTTTTCTAGTTCTTGAAGCATGGTTCTGGGATTACGACCATTTTTGTACCCATCGGTCTTGAGCAAGTGACTCATCTCGAGTGGCATCTTCGGCTTGGGCCAGGCTGCACGTGGCGAAGTGGTACTCCTTGGAGAAGCCGGGCGAGGCCCATGGAATGGGTGCCAACGGATGTTAGGACTTTAACTTTTGGCCACCGAATGGATGTTTTCCGAATTAAACCGCTGAAAGTTAAACTTTTAGAAGGGGAGCAGAAAGCAACCGAGGTTTGTAAGATCCATCAGGCAAAGGGGACATCGCAAGCTTACCAAGATCCCGGAAGCGGCTCGGAGAAAACGAGTCAAAGGACGATCAAGTTCGCTTGAGGCGAAACATATTTGGAGTATGGCCAAGGTTCTTGCTTTGGGGATCCCTTCGTAGGCTGGCAGTTTTCGGGCCACTTTTTTTTTCCGCTGAAGCCTCACAAAGTGATTGGCGCAAGCCCAACCGGACCCAAGTCGACGTGGAGTTCTGCCTAATGTGTCACCTTTCTGCAAGGCATGACGCTCCAGTTGCCTGACAGTTTATGCTTGAGCATGTCTCTCTTTTTGGGGTGGTTCGAATTCTTCCAGACGTTTCTCTGAAAGAAGGCCGATCGTCGCAGGGAGGTGGCAGTGGGATGATTTATTTTTTTTGAGGCAGCCCATCACATTTTTTGCAGGTGGCGGAGGAAGGATCAATGAATCAAGCGCACTCCTCCAACCTTAGAGCAAACATCGAAATCAGATGTCCAACCTGTAAACAGAAGAGCCATTTGTTTCTGGAGATGTCACATCTTGTGGCCGTTTTTGGCAAAATGTGAGCAGCAACTTCATGAAGGGGGCTTGTTGGAAAGAACGTTTAGCTCGGTTTTGCAGGGGTGGATGGAGTTGAGATTGTTTCAGGGAGATTCAGGGAGAGCATGTGAAGGATTGCGTTCTTTTGTTTCTGCCAGAGATTGCCGGCAGAGTAGGACGACAGACGCATTGCCACCCGCCGCTCCTTGATCAGTGGTGAACACTGCCTTGTCCCAGCATTTTGCAAAAACAGAGTCACAGAGTCACAGAGCCTTCTCTCATAACGCCCTGCTCACCCATTTTCGCATTTCGACGAGCCGCTCGGCTGACAGTTCTGGCAGTTCTCACAGGCTCTCGTCGTCAAATCCCCCCCTCTCCCCCCCCCCGCGCCGCCGGAGTTGATGGAAGAGGCAGAGGAGACAGAGCTATGGTCATGGCTGCAGGGGATTTGTGAGGCACAAAGCTTTGCGAATCCTGGCTGGGTGACTCCTGACGATGACTTTCAAAGGCCGGGAAAATCGCTCAACCGGTTTCAAGCTTCTCTGTGTGTTTTTTGTTCCTCGTCCTTTTCGTAGCCCCTGGGTGAATCTTGAGAAGGGACCAATCTGGACGAGAGGAAATCGACTTCCAGCCTAGGCGGCCTAGCGCTGAGAGCGTTGGGGGTGGGTTGGCGCCTGGAGGGAGTATCGTATTCACAGGCTCAGATGGCTGTGGGTCAAAACCGTTTTGATGCCATTTTGGGTGGTAGGTGAATTCACCACCCATTTTAGGTTTCCTATTTTAGCGCTTGGATTGGATCGGATGTTCACTGGGGGCCTTTTCCGGGCTTTGCCCTTTGACCCCTGGCCTCGAGAGTCTCCCTGAGGCTGAAAAGTTCGGTGCCCGAGTGGCTGCTGGAGGAGGACCGGACGTGTCGAGATTCGCTGGGCTTCGAAGAGCTCCGGAAGTCGTTTTTTGAGAAAACCGGCGCCTACGAAATCCAGGGACTGCTCCAAAAAACTCCGCGTGAGGAAAGCGCCGACAAGAATCCGGCGCCCCAGAGTCCTCGGCGCCCGGCTCTTGAACCCTTATTCCCCAACGGCTGAAAGCTTTGGGGTCTCAGCCCAGATAGGCTCTGGGGTGGTCCGGGGCGGCCCTGAGGTAAGGTTCTACCAGGGTTCCACCAGGGTTCCACTACGGTTCCACCACGGTTCCACCAGGGTTCCACCACGGTTCCAGGGTTCCACCAGGGTTCCACGAGGGTTGCACGAGGTTCTGCGAGGACTGGGTGGTGCGAGCACTAAGAGCACCGCATGCTGGGGATATCACCTGAGCTTATTTAGCTGAATCCCCCCCCCCCCAAACCGTGAAAAACCGAGGTTTTCATATAGAATCAAACAGGTTTTCAGCGGGCGAAAACCTGTTTTTCATGGTTTTGTGGGCTCCTGGTACGTGCTAGCCTTTGGCGAGATGTTACATCTCCTGGAGCCATCGATGCCACCGTGCCACCGGTCCCGTGAGGATCATCGCTTCGCTTGGAGAGTGGTCTCCTTGCTGGGGCTCTATGGCGAGCTAAGCTTCAACTTGCACGCTTCGATGCTCGGACAGAGCTTGGCTGAGCTTGGCTGAGCTGTTCAGAGAGGGCAATTTTACGAGCCGTTCTTCCAAATCAAATTGAGCGTTCACAGACGTCCCCTAAGTACTTGCTGCTGGATTTTTTTTCCTGCACATATTTCAGCAGGGTTGGTGTATTGCGATCATTAGATCCACCTGTTTGATCTTTGCGATCAGAGGACGCCCAGCTCTGAAAGCGCCGGACTGACTTATTTGAGTCTTCAGTTCACTGGCGCAGACTACTCGGTGGAAGAGGATCCCCCTGAGAACTGGGAGCAGCGCTTGAGTTGCGGACATATCTTCGTGGGAGCGCAGTATACGGTGGACTTGATACCTGGCGGCCAAGTGAGCATTGTGCCGATCAAGGGTTTGAAAGAGATCATTGTGGCCAAGTCCCTTGGTGACTATTTGTTCTCTTTAAAGCGCTGGTTGGAGGACTGTCTACAGTCGCTACCTCCAGATCAATGGAAGAGCGCCCTGCAATCTATGAAGAGTGGCATTGGCGGTCCTTCACACTCTGCCCATTTGGTCACTGGCAGCTTTATTTCCTTTCCAGATTATCTTCTTAAGACTCTCCCCCCATCTCTTCAAGCTGCTCGGAAGGCCGCTTTGCAACAGCCAAAGCCCAAGAAGAAGCGCAAGAAGAAGTTTTGCTGTGCCGGCTGCGATACTGAAGCAGCTAAGGAGACCTTGCGTTGCTGCGCATTCTGCGGGGAAGAGAATGACTGCGCATATTTCTGTAGTGATTGTTGCAAAGGTGGCTGTTGGTGTTCCCTCTGCGATTCTTGCTATCAGTGCTGCGACTTGAGTCATTCACCTCCTGAGGATGGTGAAGGGCCTGAGGAAGAATGACGAAGGGTCACAACGTCTCTTGGAAAGGAGACTTCGGAAACCGTGTCCGGCTTCGGGTGGCCACACGAACCTTTTATATTTAATGCATATTTGCAGACATGTGCCACAGGATCAAGTCTCTCCAAAAGATTGGGCCGTCCCTGTGCTTCGTGTGCGTGGTCCACCACTTGTAAAAGTGACATGAATTGTTCACCAAGCAAAACCTGTCAAGAAACCTTGGTGGTGCAGAAACAAGAACCTATCTTGCGTAATAGTAATATTGGACATTTGTGTGGTTGAAAACATGTGCGGGTCAACAGAGTGAACACAGTGGTACGCATGCTGAATTCGTTTATTCCACCTGTGTTCACGTTCTCTATCTTGTTTGCACCTGGCCAAAATGCTACGATTTCGGCAAAAAAGAGAACACCACAGCAATAATTGCAACAATGGAGCAGCAAGTCATGAAACTTACGATGTGCTGCAGCATGTCCACATTTCCAAGTTACTCACATTGGAAACATCTGGTCTTAAACAATTGCCAGATTCACCATCATGCAGGGTGTCAAACTGTTGTTTGAGAATGAGGACGGATCGGCATCGAGTCAATGCCACTCGGACGACAAATATTTGTCTCAGATGATACAGCATCACCACCGGGGAGTTTTATTGGCCCGGCTTTGCCTTGGATGCATGTCGATGCAGGTCCTGATTCGTAGCGCATGCAGAAAATCCAGCCGCATTGCCCGAAGCCATGGACATAGTCACGTGCCCGGGCAAACACATTCGGGCCCTTCCAATAGTCAGGAAGCTGCAGCATGATGTCATGATCTGCCACTGATTTCCTCCAAGCATTCCGGAGGGCAAACTATAACGAGCTCAGGGGCAAAACGAACCTTACTTGGGGTCGCAGGCTGATTTCTGCTTTGCGAGCAGCAATCCCAGAAATGTCACGTGAAGATACCATGGATGCCGCTCCCACTGGTGGGGTAGGATCGCAAGTTTGAGCATCACCGGTTGGGTGGGTGCTTCGCTTTTGCCTGGTCAAGCTTGTTCAGATTTACACTTGTCTTTTTCATTAAGCCACCCCACTATATATATATATATTTCCACCCAAGCCATGTTTTGTATAAATGTATATATAAGCCGGGTTTGGGGTGACTTTGTTCAGATCCAGGCGCCCTTCGACGCAGCCACGGGTGGAGTAGAGGACTCCTGGCACAAGAGGCGTGCCTCGCCGCCCGGGGGCTTCGGGGCTTCGGGGCTTCGGGGGTCGGGGCTCGGCTGCGAGGGTCGTTTTGGGTTTTCGGAGGTCGACATGGACCCTGTAGCTAGTGATATGTGCACCTAGCTGTTGATACTTACGGAGCCAAGAGGAAACCAAGCACAGGGGAGCCCGGTTTTTCTCTGAGCAACACCCGTTTTTAAAGGTGGAACCAAAGGGACATGGTGCCCATTTCCAATGTAGAGACGAGCGCGGAGGAAGCCAGTAGTATTTGTTGCAGGACGCAGAGCAGCGGAAAAATCAACTCTTTCGAGTGACTTCCGGTAGTCTGAATCCCTCTCATGTTCGCAACGTTTGGGCCTTCAAACCGTGCGAACCGCAATGTTGCACTGTTTGTCAAGCCGGCCTGTGAACGACTAAAGCGGTTCATGGTTGGATTTGGCTGCTTCTCACAACCAATCATGCCCTCACTTGATTTTGCGGAGCGATCGAGGCGGAATGGCACTTCCTTTGTGTTCGTCTGCCAAATGCAACGCAGGTCTCCTGCAGCTTTCTCGCTCACGAAATCCCCCCAAACTTATGGCTCCAGGCCGCGCGTGCTGGCGGCTGCCAACTACTCCTTGCAGGCAGATTTCGCGAATTTTCGGCAGGAAAGGTTTTCTGAATTGGAGATTGCGTGTGCGAGGATTTCACCATCTTGGCAATCCTGGCATTCGTGTTGCCGAAAAGCAGCTGATACCGGCTCCGAGCCTGCTGAATCGTGACACGCCAACTCTGAGTTGTCGTGCCGCATGTTTGCCGCCAAACGGAAGCTTGCGTTTGCACTTTTGCCCTTGTTTGTGTGAGCACAGCGAAGCGATAGCTATCTTGGAGCGTGTCGGAGTGCCAACGTGACTCCCGGGTGCCACCGGGGTAGAGGCTCAGCACGTTCGCAATCCCCAGATTGCTGAAAGAAGCAACAGTCTTTACTGCTTAGAACGTGGTCATTCGATCGGCAGTGCTTGTGAGTGAGTTTCAAGTGGTTCACCCAGCGGCACTTTGGTAGGCTATTCGAGGGTCATGTGGGGTCTAGCGGGTGCATTGCTTGCTTTGCCTGCTCGTTCCATTTTTTGTTCAAAGAGTTTCTTCAGCACAAGGGAACATTGCATTTTCTGGTTCCTTCTCAACCGCTTGGTTCTTTCACCAGCACACACACACACACACACACGATGCTGAATCGGAATTACCCACCCACATTTCAACGTGGAACCTGACTTAGACCATTTTCCTTTGATCATTTTCTCGGTGGGTTCCATTGGTCTTTTGTGCCTGGCAGACCAACTTGAGGGAGAACCTCACTCAAGGCAAGAACCTGGTGAAGGCATCCGCATCGTGCCTGAGAGCATCCGCATCCATGTTTTGAGGAACTCTCCAGGACTGTTGTGTGGCATGTTTCAGGTTACCGCCATCAAAGCCACAGGGGCATGCGGTGATTTTGTTTCGAAGCGGGCCCCTCGCGCTCCCTTGATGTATTGCCAGAGATTGGGACATTGGACATCACATTTGCGGTGTTCTGGTTTACGGAATCAGCTCATCAGTTTGAGATGTTGCGCAGCACAGATTGTTCGGATCTGTTGCATGACAAACGCATGCCAAAATCGCATTTTGCAACTGACCTGTTCAATCCTGGGCACGGGTCAGATTTCTCCCAAGTCATTTGGTTTTCCTTCTGCTGACTTAAGGATGCACGTCCGTGATCTAAATCTCCATTTCGCGGGAGGCAATCTGGATTGTTGACAGGCCTTAGCAAGAAGCTTCCCTTCGTCTTTTTTACGGGAAAGGGCTTGTAGTTACCTTTCGCCTTCCATTCGACAGGTATCCATGGTCTCAGGGTCAGAGAATGGCCCCACTGGCCAGTTATATGAACCGTGACCCGATCTGCCACGGGTACCCTTCCATGCAGGACCCACAAAACGATTTCGGGTTCTCCTGAATATTGGACACACACGACATGTGTGGCAAGATTCCCTTGCTTGGATACACACACACACACAAACACAACCACCACCACACACACACAAACCAAACCACAAACACACACACACACACAAGCTAAACCACAAACACAAACACATGAGCAGACACAGAGACAAAAACAGACACAGAAGCATAAACATAAACAGACAGAGACAGACAGACCAGAGACACACAGACACACAGAGACACAGAGACACAGACACACAGACACACAGACACACACACACAGACACACACACACAGACGCACAGACACACAGACACACAGACACACAGACACACCGACACACCGACACACCGACACACACAGACACACAGACACACAGACACAAGCGCAAACACAAACGTACAAAAACAAACAAACGATCAAACAAACAAACAAAGCAAGCAAATAAGCACACAGGCAAGCAAGCAAGCAAGCAAGCAAGCAAGCAAGCAAGCAAGCAATCAAGCAAGCAAGCAAGCAAGCAAGCCAGCGAGCGAGCGAGCGAGCGAGCAAGCAAGCAAGCAAGCAAACACACAAGCAACCAGACAGACAGACAGACAGACAGACAGACAAACAAACAAACAAATAAATATACAAGCAAGCAAACAAACAAACAAACAGACGCACAAACAAACAAACCAACAAGCAAACTAATAAACAATCAAACACAGAAACACAAACACGCAAACACACACAAACACACACACACACACAAACACACAAACACACAAACACACAACCACACAAACACACAAACACACAAACACACACACACACAAACACACAAACACACAAGAACACACACAAACACACAAACACACAAACACACAAACACAAAAACACACAAACACACAAACACACAAACACACAAGCACACAAGCACACAAACACACAAACACACAAACACACAAACACACACACACAATCACACAAACACACAAACCCGCAAACACACACACACACAAACCCACAAACACACAACCACACAAACACACAAACACACAAACACACACGCACAACCACACAAACACACAACCACACAAACACACAAACACACAAACACACAAACACACAAACACACAAACACACAAACACACAAACACACAAGCACACAAACACACAACCACACAAACACACACACACACAATCACACAAACACACAAACCCGCAAACATACACAAACACAAACCCACAAACACAGAAACACACAAACACACAAACACACAAGCACACAAGCACACAAACACACAAACAAACAAACAAACAAACACACAACCACACAAACACACAAACAAACAAACACACAAACACACAAACACACACACACACACACACAAACACACAAGCACACAAACACACAAGCACACAGACACACAAACCCACAAACACACAAGCCCACAAGCACAACCACACGAGCACACAAACACACAAACACACAAACACACAAGCACACAAACACACAAGCACACAAACACACAAACACACAAACACACAAGCACACAAACACACAAACACACCAACCCACAAACCCGCAAAACACACACACACACACAAACACACGAACGCACAAACACACAACCACACAAACACACAAACACACACAAACACTCAAACGCACAAAAACACACACAAACACACACACACAAGCACACAAACACACAAACACACAAACACGCAAACACACCCACAAACCCGCAAACACACACACACACAAACACACAAACGCACAAACACACAACCACACAAACACACAAACACACACAAACACACAAGCACACAAACACACACACACAAACACACAAACACACAAACACAAACACACAAACACACACACAATCACACAAACACACAAACCCGCAAACACACACAAACACACACACCCACAAACACAGAAACACACAAACAAACAAACACACAAACACACAATCCCACAAACACACACACACACAAACACACAAACACACAAGCACACAAGCACACAAACACACAAACACACAAACACACAAACACACACACACAATCACACAAACACACAAACCCGCAAACACACACACACAAACCCACAAACACACAACCACACAAACACACAAACACACAAACACACACGCACAACCACACAAACACACAACTACACAAACACACAAACACACAAACACACAAACACACAAACACACAAACACACAAACACACAAACACACAAGCACACAAACACACAACCACACAAACACACACACACACAATCACACAAACACACAAACCCGCAAACATACACAAACACAAACCCACAAACACAGAAACACACAAACACACAAACACACAAGCACACAAGCACACAAACACACAAACAAACAAACAAACAAACACACAACCACACAAACACACAAACAAACAAACACACAAACACACAAACACACAAACACACACACACACAAACACACAAGCACACAAACACACAAGCACACAGACACACAAACCCACAAACACACAAGCCCACAAGCACAACCACACGAGCACACAAACACACAAACACACAAACACACAAGCACACAAACACACAAGCACACAAACACACAAACACACAAACACACAAGCACACAAACACACAAACACACCAACCCACAAACCCGCAAACACACACACACACAAACACACGAACGCACAAACACACAACCACACAAACACACAAACACACACAAACACTCAAACGCACAAAAACACACACAAACACACACACACACACAAGCACACAAACACACAAACACACAAACACGCAAACACACCCACAAACCCGCAAACACACACACACACAAACACACAAACGCACAAACACACAACCACACAAACACACAAACACACACAAACACACAAGCACACAAACACACACACACAAACACACAAACACACAAACACAAACACACAAACACACACACAATCACACAAACACACAAACCCGCAAACACACACAAACACACAAACCCACAAACACAGAAACACAAACAAACAAACACACAAACACACAATCCCACAAACACACACACACAAACACACAAGCACACAAACACAAAAACACACAGACACACAAGCCCACAAACACACAAACCCACAAGCACAACCACACAAGCACACAAACACACAAGCACACAAACACACAAACACACAAACACACAAGCACACAAACACACAAACACACCAACCCACAAACCCGCAAACACACACACACAAACACACAAACGCACAAACACACACACACAGACACACACACACACACACACACACACACACACACACACACACACACACACACGCTGCCTTTGCTTTACGCCTGCCTTCGCCTGCGCTGCGCTACGCACCACGCACTGCCTTGGCGCTGCGCTTTGCCTTTGCGGACGCCTTGCAGTTCTAGCACCATACACGCACACGCTGCGCTGCATACCACGCTTCTACGCTGCCGCTCTTCTCGCGCCTGCCTTACACACCACCAGAAGAAAAAGCTACGCCTACGCACGCTGCGCCTGCCTTTACGCTGCACGCTGCGCACCACGCACCGCACCCGCACCGCTTTCCCACCCGCACCCGCACCCGCACCCGCACCCGCACCCGCACGCGCACGCGCGCGCGCGGCGCGCCGCCACCCGCAACGCGCACGGCGCTCGCGCGCCGCCGCGCTAACGCGCCTTGCCCGGCTGACCTTCGGCCCGGCCCAGCGCCCTGCATGTAACGACGCGCGCGCCTCTGTCTGGCCGCGCAGCACTCTGCGCGCGCACGCGCACGCGCACGCGCACGCGCACGCGCACGCGCACGCGCACACGCACACGCACACGCACACGCACACAAACACAAACACAAACAACACAAACACAAACACAAACACAAACACAAACACAAACACAAACACAAACACAAACAACACAAACACAAACACAAACACAAACACAAACACAAACACAAACACAAACACAAACACAAACACAAACACAAACACAAACACAAACACAAACACAAACACAAACACAAACACAAACACAAACACAAACACAAACACAAACGCAAACGCAAACGCAAACACAAACACAAACACAAACACAAACACAAACACAAACACAAACACAAACACAAGCACAAGCACAAACACAAACACAAACACAAACACAAACACAAACACAAACATACAAACACACAAACACACAAACACACACACAAGCACACATAGACGCAGATATTTCATGCCCGTGGCTTTGGCTGGGAGGGTAGCTTTTGCTTCCGACCTGGCTCGGCTCGTGCTAGGGGGCCGTGCGCGGTGTCAGCATCCACCAGATCCAGACCCACCAAAGTGGGGGCCCAGACTCCAGACTTCGAAGAAACTGGGGTAGACTTAGGATACATTTTACATTTACCAGTGACTCAAAGGGAAGCAAACAATAGAAAATACATTCTATAACTGGGCCTTAGTCTAATCATGGAAAGATGTGTGGGGATTCCCGAGCAGTATGGGATGCATGTCAATCGAGGTCCCTGACATCATTTCGGGGATTGTCCACTGTTGATCCTCTTCATTGTGGAGGGGATTCCTATTGAGATTCTCTTTCGAGAACCTTTCTGCCAACCTAGCTTCAAACATGGCAGAAGGGGAGCAAGCAGCCCGCGGGCTCGGGGTGCAGGCAAGACGGGGTCAATGCCACGAATTTTGCAGGTTCCCGCTTCCTTCTTGCGATAGGCAGGTTTTGCAAATGGCAGATTGAGAATTCGCGGCGGCGAATCGCCTGTTTCAACCTCTTATGACGGAGACAGGAGCAACATTGACTGATTGCCTGTCGCGCGCGGAGGCGTGACCATGACTTTCTTCGCAGCGGGCTCCATCCTGGGGTTCAGTCTATGTGTGTTGTGTCAAAAACACTCCTTTGCTCGGTTGGTAGGAATGTTCATGAGCCCTTTAGTGTTGGACAGCAGCTGTTGGGGTTTTCTACTGACAGAACCATGACCATTAACGACATATGAAGATTGACCACATGGCAAAAGTGCAGGACATGTTGAAAGTTCTTGGTTCTACTCTATATCAATATCTACCATTTTTTTCATATATGATATCCCTAACTTAATTAATTCTAATGAATGCTCGTTGAGCTGAGTTCTTACTCCGACTTTCCAGCCGAGCTCTTCTCGTGGAAAACCTCCCGATCGAGGCTCCTGCTTCAAGATCGACTTCCGTCTCCTGGGGCTCCGGAACCTGCCGGACAGCTTGGTGGACTGCAAGCTCTACGCTGGAGCCTCGGTCCGGCGCTGTCCGCAGCCCGACGGAACCTGCGAGCACGGGAAAAGAGGCCATACCCCACCCCACCCCACCCCACCCCACCCCACCCCACCCCACCCCACCCCCACCCCCACCCCCACCCCCACCCCCACCCCCACCCCCACCCCCACCCCCACCCCCACCCCCACCCCCCCCCACCCCCACCCCCCCCCACCCCCACCCCCACCCCCCCCACCCCCACCCCCCCCCCACCCCCACCCCCACCCCCACTCCCACCCCCACCCCCAAAAAATACATAAAATGGCACTTCTAACATCAAACCCAAATAATCAAACAGCATACAACAAAATCAGCAAAATTCACAGAAAACAAGATAAGAACCACCAAGCAACTCAAAAACCAGAACAACCCCCAACAAAATATTTAATCAAAGCATACAACATTAAATAATTCAAACAAGCATACCAACAAAACAGCAAAAATAAAAACCATCAAAGAACCCAATCTCAAAAACACACAAAATCAAAAACAAAGCAACATACCATCAAAAAATATCAGAAGAGTATCAAACAAAATAAAATACAAACAGCCAAAGCACGAAAAAATCAAAAGAGCATACCAAGTTCAAACAACGCACTTTGAAAGAGTCAGCCAAATCAAGAAAAAATAACATATTTCAATCTTTACAAACTATAAGTACAGTATAATTATAACATATAAGATTTTACATGTTATTATTATAGTATGATTATAATTTCAGTACAGGATAATAATTTAATTGACAAATCTTTCTTCTTTCATACATCATTTTAAAAATAATATTAATATCTCTCAATGTATTTTGAATATTAAACTTTTTACTTTCAATAAATAATTTGATATTTTCTTTAACATCTTCTCCTTTATCTTGACTATAACACAACAACCATAATATATCATCCATCATTTCATATTTTTTCTTACTAATTTTAAGAAACTGTTTAACATAATCATAAGGTGGTATTTTATTTACAGTTAGAAATATTAAAATATCATCTTCTACATTTCTATGTCGAATTCTTTTTTTTCCCAACAGACATCTGATTAATTCTTGATAATATCTCCAATTTCTACAAATTTTACATAAATCTTCTTCATCCATTGAATAATTAATAATATTATTCACTATTTCATTAGGTAAATTTAATTTATACAATTCCATATTTTCTTTTTTGAAGTGACAACAATCATAGCATTTTTTATTGATATAATTATTGATTTTATCACCGTTCATTTTCCTCTTATTATATTAAGGTTTTAAATCTTTAAGTATATTTTCTAAAAAGTCACTTAAAGAAATAAACACATTAAATTTATATAGTATAGTATTATGAAACATGTTATAGATTATCTGTTGAATAATGATAAAGCGGAAATTCCAAAAAGAGGAAACAAGGAATTAAAATCAATAATTATAGATGGTAGACAATTTAGATACAACAAAGAAAAACCCATCTCAAATGTTTTGAACAAGAAATTAAAATCAGAAGCAAGAACTAATGAGTATAATAGTTATGCAACAAAAACATTGCGCTCAACATACCTAAAACAAAGAATGAAAAATGCAATGACAAAATATGCAATCAAAAATAAATTCCAAGTAACAGACCAACAATCAGCTTTCAAAAGTTATGCTAATTCTATAAAACTAGTAAATAAACATTTTCAAGGTGAAAAGGCACTATCAATGATACACCACCAAAAAGATAGACTTTTGACCTTTTTGAAAACTAATAGAGCAATGAAACTGAATATAAGGGCAGAAGGTTTATTTTATCATTATTATGATGATGATGGAGTAATAAAACATACAGAGATACTTTATAATTTACCTGCTACAAGGTCAAACATATATAATGAAACCGATTTGGATGAAGCAATTGAAAAATCAATCAAAGAGATTTTATTGAACATAGAAAAGTTAGAAGGTTCAGCATCTAATTTAAAATTTATAAAGATATTATCAATAACAATCCATTATGACAAATATGACCCAACTAGGGCGGGTAGTTATATAGATTTACCAGAATGGATTAAACTAAAAAAGGCATGTATTAATATCAAAAACAAAGATAACAAATGTTTTAAATATAGTGTTCAAAGTGTAGTGTTTGATATAATTAATAAATCAAATTCCCAAGAAATGTTCCATTACAACAAATTAAACGACAATATCTTAAACTGGGAAGGTGTTAAATTTCCAACTGGTAATAAAGATATTGAAAGGTTTGAAGAAAATAATAGTAAGTTAGTTTCAATCAATGTGTATGAAATTGATGATACTTTGAATGAAAAGAAAATTATAATTGATTACAGAACTAAAACAAGAGATGCTAAACATCAAATAAACCTTTTGAAAATTGAAATCAATAATAATAATCATTATGTAGTTATTAAAAGTCTAAGTCGTTTAATGAACTGGCAAACAAACAAAAATGACCAACCAAAACATTATTGTCATTATTGTTCTCATGCCTTTACTAGAAAGGATTTATTAACAAAACATTATGAAACTGGTTGTATGGCAACACATGGACAACAGTTTAAATTACCAAAAGAAGGTAGTTATATTGAATTTGAAAAATACAATACAAAATTAAAATGTCCATTTGTTGTTTATGGAGATTTTGAGTGTATAACTGTAAATTCAAATAATGGCATCAAGGGCACGTATCAGGAACATAAACCATGCGGTTATATGTTGAATGTTGTAAATTCTATTGATAATACAAGTCAACCTTTTTTATACCGTGGAGAGGATTGTTTAGACCACTTTGTAAATAAATTAAGAGAAATTAAAAAAGATATTTTTGATAAAATGAATGTTAATAAACCAATGGATATTACAGATGAACAAGAAGCAGAATTTAGAAAAGCTACTGTATGTTCAATATGTAATAAGAATTTTAAACCAGAAGATACAAAAGTCAGAGACGCCTCGCCAGAGGCTCACGAGACTACCCTTTCTTCCAAAGGAAGAAAGGTTCGTGACCACTGTCATTTTACTGGTGAGTATAGAGGTTGTGCTCACGAAAAATGTAATTTGGATTATTCATTTAGATATTTCAAGATACCAGTATTTTTTCATAATTTAAAAAACTATGACTCTCACTTAATAATAGGCAAAGCAAATGAAATAAATAAGGAATTGAACGAAAATAAGAGAATAGATGTAATAGCACAAAATAGCGAAAAGTTTATTACATTTTCATTTGGTTCATTACAGTTTAAAGATAGCATGGCTTTTCTCTCAGCATCTTTGGATAAATTAGTTAAGTTAAATAAATATGACATAGTAGGTAAAGATGAACATGATAAACCTATATATAAAAAGCGGAATGACTGGAAGGATAATTTCCGATTTTCATCAGCAAATCCATATATTAGAAATAAAACCGATTTAGACTTATTAACTGAAAAAGGAGTTTATCCTTACGACTACATGAATTCATTTGATAAATTCAATGAATCGCAATTACCGAATATAGAAGACTTTTACAGTAAATTATATGAAGAAGGTATAACAGATACACAACACACAAGGGCAAAAGTAATATGGGATAATTTCAATATCAAAAACCTAGGTGAATACCATGATTTATATTTGATGACAGATGTTTATTTGCTTAGTGATGTGTTTGAAAACTTTAGGGATATGTGTTTAAATTTTTATGGATTAGACCCTGCACATTACATAACATTACCTAATTATTCTTGGTCTGCCTTTTTATCTCTGACTGGTGTTAGACTTCAACAAATACATAATAAAGATATGTATGAAATGATTGAAAAAGGTCTTCGTGGCGGGATGACTCAATGTGCTCATAAAAAAGTAGAAGCAAATAATAAATACATGAATGAACAATATGACTTGTCAAAACCATCAAGTTATGTAAGTTATTTAGATGCTAATAACTTGTATGGTCTGGCTATGAGTAAAAAACTACCGTTTGATAATTTCAATTGGTATTTTTCAAGGATGGATGAGAAGAAAGTATTAAGTTATAGCGATGATGATGACAAAGGCTATATTTTAGAAGTTGATTTAGAATATCCAAAAGAATTACATGATTTACATAGAGATTATCCATTAGCACCAGAAATTATGAGTGTTAGTGAGAATATGCTTTCACCAGTTCAAAAAGAAATACATAAAACATATTATGGAAAAGATGCATCTGATGAAAAAACAAATAAACTAATATTAAATGTTATGGATAAGAAAAAGTATGTATTACATATATCAGCATTGAAGTTTTATTTAGAGCATGGATTAAAACTAAAGAAAGTCCATAGGGTAATTAGTTTTAATCAAGCAGATTTCTTAAAACCATACATTGATTTCAATACCGAAAAACGAAAGAATGCTAAAACTGAATTTGAAAAATATTTATTCAAATTATTAAATAACGCTGTATATGGAAAAACACTCGAAAACGTTCGTAATCACAATGACTTCAGACTAATCAATACACCTGAACGCTTCCAGAAATTAGTAAATAAACCATCATACAAACATAGACACATTATAAATGAAGATTTAGTGGTGGTAGAACTTGAAAAGGCAATGGTAGAATTAGATAAACCTATTTATATGGGTCTATCAATTTTAGATTATTCTAAAATTCATATGTATTCTTTTTATTATGATGTATTAAAACCTAAATATAACGATAAAATAAAATTAGCATATACTGACACTGATAGTTTTATTATCCATGTTGAAACTGATGATATTTACACAGATTTTAAGCTTATAAATCAACATATGGATTTTTCAGATTATCCTAAAAATCATGAATGTTATAATGCTTCTAATAAAAAAGTTCTTGGGAAAATGAAGGATGAGTTATCAGGGAAAATAATGACACACTTCATAGGATTGAAACCTAAATCATATTGTTATAAAGTGTATGGAGAAGATGAAGAACATAAGAGGAGTAAAGGCATTGTTAAACATAAAGTGGCGA